AAGGCAGACAACTACAGGTTGTTGGTGGAAAACCTCCTCAAGGCATACAAAAGCCTTGGTTGCAACATGTCACTAAAGATACATTTTTTGCACTCTCATCAGGTTTTTTTCCACCAAACTGCAGAGCAGTGAGCGACGAGCACGGCGAGCGATTTCACCAGGACATTGCAACAATGGAGAAACGCTATCAAGGCAAATGGAGCCCATCAACAACTTTGAGGTTTCAATATTTTTCAAGAATAAAGGTTTAAATTTTCTGACCAGCTATTGCAGTTACTGTGGACACACTTAAAATGTTTCTTCTGTTGTGAGAGATTCTGCTGATTCAAGAGATACTTTTTTCTCCTAAGGATGTGCTTAAAATGAGAAAAAATGATTGGTAGAACCACTGATTTCCCTCAAACCAGTAGAAAACTTTTAAATTTGCCATTGTATAACAGAATGACACCTTTCCCTAGGGAGTGTTGAATAAACTTGGAGATAAATGTTTAGTTGGCCATGTGAAGCTCCTAGATTTTGATTTTTGAAAGCTGGCTTTCTAAAACCAAGATGTAACAGAGGACAAACAGTAAGCATCACCTTTAACTAAGCATGTACCTTTAATACATAATAGATAAAGATCAGTACGTATCCAAATTTAACGATAAAAGTTTACCTTTTTCTCCTGGGTCTCCCTTTTGGCCTTTCATATTTTCCATGTCCGTTACCGTTATGGTTCCTGGTTTTCCTGGTAGACCTACTTCACCTTTACTCCCTTTGAAACCAGTATCACCTCGTGGCCCTGGCGTACCTGGAAAACCTGAAGTACCTGCAGTGCGAGAATACCGGATAGAACACCACAGTAACGTATGATGTGTGACAGATAGGTGCAAAACAAAGTAATTACTAATTCAAACTGCGAGCTAAGTGAACCAAGGTCAGGGGAGCCTGATTTACCTCCACAGGGACAGGATGGGGCATTTTTTACTCCATGTTCCCATGGGGGTAGCTGTGTTGCAAGGGTGGTTGAGTTCTGCCAACCAGAAAGCTGCTTTAATTTATGACCAGGCTCCACAGCAGCCCTGCCTAAGGAAGTGGCCTGGAAGGATGTTTAAATCACTGCACCTTTCAGGTGGTGTGGCCCTCTCACTTTTCCACCTACCTTGTCCCAGCAGAATGGGATTGGGGTTGGAAGGAAGCTTCTGTTATTGTCGTTCCCTCTCCAACCCCTTCCATCAGATACAATGTGGCCAATTTTCAAATGGGGGCTCCTTATTGTAACACCCCCATGGCAAAGTCTTATAGAATTTAATGACAATCTTTCTACATTTTTTTTTAAAGCCACCTAGGCAAATTTAATGATAGAATCCTATGGGATGGCTAGAACAACCTATAGGAAGGATTTAACTCTCCTTTAAATTCTATATTTTTTAGCATAATTTCTATTGAATCCTCCCTGATCTGGCTGGTCCTTAACCTGCTCTTGCATGGAAAAAAACCTCTGGCTTAGTGCATCCTATTCTTGGTGTCCAGTTTTGCTAACATGGCCACTCAAATCAAAACAACATACACTTCAGTCCACACCTCCTCCCCAGACATGGCTATTTCCAAGGCCTTGTCTTCACTAGGAAAATAAAAGATGTATTTTTAACATGTTAAAATCATAGTGTAGCCAAGACAGTTTCACTTCTAACATGTGTTAGCTAGTCATGGTAAACCATAGTGGTGGAGTCTATGTTTCATCTTGACCTGTTAACACATGTCAAAAATACACTTATTTTCTTAGTGTGGTCATGCCCTGGTTCCTTCTTTAGGAATTCTCAGCCCCAGTGTCTGGCTCCCACCTGCCTTTCTATCAAGGGTGGAGTTAATGAGCCATGTCTTCAACAGTGAGTGAGCAGAAACCAATCAGCAGCTCCCTGCAGGGTTCTAATACTTGCTAACAGGGAGGGGGTAAAACCAGACTCCTGCCACTTTTTTACAAATTTAAAACTTCTATAAAACCTGTTCATTTCTTGTGGAGTTTTACATAAAGGTGTAGGGCATCTACCCCATAAATAGATGCTCAGACTGATGCATATTCATGCTGAGGTGCCAATTTAAGTATTTTAGGACAGGAATGGCCTATTAAGGATGAAAACTGAGCTTAATAAATCAGTGTCTATAATACATTTAGATTCCGTGCTCTCAGTGGCTCAGTGCAGGGGCGATGGAGTCTTCCTAAAAGTGGGGGAGGGGGCCCCTGTGTGGCCTCACCCCCCGGTGAAGCCGGAAGCCGGAGTCTGGCCAGGTAGCCCGGGCCCCTCCACCTGCCCGGGATAGGGGGGACCGACAGCAGCCCCCAGCCCATGTCCTTGCTCCCCAGACACCGCACCCAGGGCAGGTGGAGGGTCTGTGGCTCCCCATAGCTGCCTACGCGGCTCTTACCCTGACCTGGCTCCAGCTTCTGGCGTGATTGGGGGGTGGGTCTTGGGGGGATGAGGAGGGGCAGGGGACCGGGCACTGGGTGAAAAGAGGACGGCCCAGGCCAATCAACTTTCAAAAAGTGGGAGAGCCATGGCCCTTTGGCCCCCCCAGTTCTGGTGCCTCTGGATCAGTGTCTTTTGCTTTAATGACTATACCATATCTTAGATAAAAGTTTTAAACTTCCATTAACATTGTAAATATGCTAAACAGGAACTCAATATAACATGCAGATCCTGACTCAAATATTCTGTCCTCCTTGAATGTCGAAACCCATAGTGGTTTTTTAAATGACTTTAGATTCACATTCTAATTGGAGGCAATCTCTTTTAATGACTTCTCGCTAGATCTTCATTTGTCAAAAATTCCTACCTTTTTCACCCGGTAATCCTGGATTTCCTAGTGGCCCGGGAGCACCTGGGATTCCAGGGGTTCCCATAACTCCCATTTCTCCTTTGATGCCTGAAACCAAAGCAAAATAATATTTAATAGAAATGTAATTGACTAAAATAAAATAAGTAACAGAAATTGAATGACTTACTGCCTGTATTGCATTATATTATTCATTAATAAAAATTTAGTAAGTAATATGTCTAGTAAACAACATATGTTTCTTAGGTCTCAGAAAACAAAACCTAATCATCCAAGTATAAACTCTTAACAAATTCCATTTAAATATATATTTTTTTATAATATTTATATATATTTATATATATATAACAGAGTAATCTGGTCAAGAAATACAGTTGGATTTTTTAAAATTGTTAGCACAGGATTCCCAGAATCTTTTATTGTATTTTATTTTCAAATTTATGACTGAACCCACCTGAAATATTTAAATCCCATCCATCCCACCCAAAATAAGCTAACCCAGAATTATGGCTCTGTCCTGTCAGTTTGTTTGCCAGGTGTGTTTTATATATAATATCATATACATGGCAAGCCCAGTAGGCTGTTAAAATAGTTTGCAGTGAGGCAGTTAAATTAGTAATCACATCTCAGAACCAAATTACTAGAGAAAGAAACAGTAAAAAAAATAGATGAAAAGTAGAGACTCCAGATCAATCCAAAATAGAGAGTTCTTGACAGTTCCTTAAAATTCCAAAGTAATGAGATGGAGGGTCAGATGCTAATCTCAGTTGCAGTTACAATACAATTGCTCCAGATTAATACTTGTTTTATTGAGATCAAACACTGCCTAATCATCAGGGATGAGTCTGACAGAACAGCAGTATCATTTGTTTTTTAAAGGTGGATCCTTAGCCACAATTTAAGGGCTTAACCTTGAAAGCTATGTAGCTCCAATCCACCAGAACACTTAAGGATATGCTTAGAGTTAAGCATGTGCTTAAGTGTTTTTCTGGATCAGAGCCTTAGTACTCAGACTCTTTCGGAATCAAATCCTAACTGCAATGAAAGGCATACAACTAAGTGGCATAATAACACAGAATTTGACACAACTATGATTTAATAAAAAAGATAGATACTGTTTTCTCCACAGACTATTCTTAATTTATTTTGCTTACTTAAAAAAACAGATATTTAATTTACTATTGGTATTTGAAACAGTCAAAAAAAACAAATGATTAATTTTCTGAAAGCAAAAATGCATACCTGGAAAGCCTGGAAGTCCACCTTTTCCTTGTGGACCAGGTGCACCAGGTAAACCTACCAGACCTGGTAGCCCACTCTGGCCAGAGCTACCCTTATCTCCTTTTGGTCCTGGCATATCTAGTCCTGGGATACCTGGGTAGCCCCTCTCTCCCTTTGTTCCAGGAAATCCTACAGGGAAAAAACCCCAACTCTTAATAGAGCACATAGGACTTTATTAGTCAGATTACAGTATAAAGTACAAATATGTTCTGTAATTGTGCATCTTGTGGAAAACAAAGCACATTTCTTTATTAGTAGAGGAAAACAAAGTGAAAAAGTCCTCATAATCTAATTTATCCATTTCTATTTTTAATCTGCTACATCAGCTGGTATGTGCAGCCTGCAGAGATTTAGTGAGGAAGCCTTCAGTTTTAGGTCACAGAGATGAAGCCTGATGACGTTCTGGTTTTCTAAAGATTCTTATCCACAGAGTTTACACTTTTAAAAGGCTGGAAAATATTATAAAAGCAGCCTACCACTTCCCCCCATATTAATGCCCATAAGATCCATAAAATTGATTCCAGATATAAATGAAAAAGGAAGAACACACAAAACCAGCAAGTATTTTGTATCACCTTTTGGTCCCTGTGGCCCTGGTCCTCCTGCAGGTCCGGGGGGCCCTGGAGGGCCTATTCCTGCCACACCTGGGGGACCTTGTGAACCTGGTAATCCAGCTGAACCTGGGTCACCTACCGGGAAAAATAAAGCATAATCCAATTATTTTGCCAAATTACTTTTTTAGCTTGCTTGGTGCAGATAGTAGATAGGCACTTTGAGCAAAATTCCCCCCCCCCCCCCCCCCGGCCAAGGGGCCAGCAGAAGGCCTATGCATCATTTAAGTCATTAGTGTTTTCTTAATGGCTGTTCCAAAAGCAATGGGGAGAGGAAGGGCTGCACAGCCAGGTGGGCAGGAAGGAGGCAGAGAGGGAAGGGAAATGGACATTATATCTGGAAGTTTAAGTGGTGCACAGGTCTTTTGCTGGCTTTCTGCCCAGGTGTGAATTTCAACCATTAAGATTTATTTTTAAAAAGTGTAAAAAATGTTACTACTAATGAGCTACAAGGAGTCTGGTGGCACCTTAAAGACTAACGGATTTATTTGGGCATAAGCTTTCGTGGGTAAAAAACCTCACTTCTTCAGATATAACCTTCAGATGCATCTGAAGAAGTGAGGTTTTTTACCCAAGAAAGCTTATGCCCAAATAAATCTCTTAGTCTTTAAGGTGCCACCAGACTCCTTGTTGTTTTTGTGGATACAGACTAACACGGCTACCCCCTAATACTTGATGCTAATGAGCTGTAACTTTGATTTTTTAAAATTACCTCGGATTCCTGGCTGACCAGGTACACCTGGAAATCCTTGCTCTCCTCGTAAGCCAGGCAAACCAGCATTTCCTTTTTCTCCAGGGAAGCCAGCTGGGCCCTGTGGGCCTGGTAATCCTTTAGGACCCGGGAGACCCACTCCAGGGTCACCCTTAAGGTGCAAATAATATAGATTAGGAGTCAATATACAACAAATTAAGTGTTTTTAAATTAAGCAATTGGGAGGCAGATCATCATACCGGCCTTCTCTGGATATATGCTAAATTACCCCAGATGAAGAGTTGGCCTACTATACTTTTCTTAGTACCAGCAACAGCTCTGTATTGTTGATAACACAAATAGTAATTGAAAAGAACAACGTAAACTGCAAACACTCACTTTTTGACCAGGCAAACCTGGTGTGCCTGGTAAACCATCAAAGCCAGGACGCCCTTGAGCCCCTGGCTGACCTGATGTGCCAGGCTGACCTGGGAAACCTAAAAAACAAACACACATAATCAGGGTCTCAGTAAGTTAACCTTAAAGTTTCTTCTGCCTTTTAAATGAACTATTCACACTCACACAGAGAGCTATTAAACAGGATCAAGTCGGTCTCCTCAAATGCCAAACTTGTGAGGGCTGAGCACCTCTTGTGAGGGGCTGTGCACTCCCAAATCTCAATGACTTCAATAGAGTTAGGGTGCTCGGCACCTTGCAGGATTTCGTCTTGGGTGAATGAAGTAATATATATATATATATATATT